GACATTATGTGAGAATTCAGCTCTATATTTTGCAATAGAGAACCACTTATGTATTTAAACCAAAAACAAAAAACTATACAATTCTGCAATTGTTAGTATAGGTTTAGCAATCCCAAATAGTTCAGACAATGGGAACATGTGGTGTAGGATAAATCCTGCAGCTCACTTAAAGTGTTACTAAACCCAGAACAGTAAAATCTGTCTGTATATGCAGTAAAGCATGCCTGTTATATTCACGGTGGAACTTAAGGGGTTAATCCTCTGCATTGTGTAAAAAGGATGTTTGATCATGTCTTCTCTGATCCTCCCCTTCTTCCACGTTCCTCATTTCATCTCCTGATAGAACACACCCTCGGGGACACTCTGCACATGCTCAGTTTGGTGTGTACTGCTAGAGTTTTTTTCTTTTTTTTGGGAGAGTGCATGTGATCAGCACTGTCCAGACAGAGGATCAGGGGTTATGCAATCTCATAGGGCAGTTAGAGGAGAATGAAAACTCCTCCTACAAGCTTTAACCGGTGCTCAGCTGGATACTGATAGAAGTCACAAGACTGCTCTAACTGCTGATGAGAAAAGGTATTTAGCACTTTATATTTGCTTAAATAATTGCTTTTTCATGTTCTGTGTACTGTGGGAGACCAGATATAGTGAATGCAGGGTCCTGGGTTTAGTAACACTTTAAATATCACCATTGGATCCCAAACTTTTGTATGCCCCACACCCTTAGGAAATATTTGAATAATGTTCGCTTCCTCTACAAAAGTAAAATCAGATTTGAGTATGTATATCTATTTTCTAATTTGTGAACCATAAACAATTGAGCATTTACATTCTAATTTAATCAGGAAAAAAAATTGTAAAAGGCAAAATCAATCCTACTTGTGAACATAAAATGCAACGGGGTTGATTTACTAAAGGCAATTAGACTGTGCACTATGCAAGGGCATTTGCTCCAGAGGTTAGTAAATGAAGGGAAGCTCTGCTGACTTCCATCATCCAAGTATGTGCAAGCAGTTATTTCTTTCCTTGCATGTGACTAGGTATTCTGGGTATTCAAAGTGAGGCTTCTTATTTTCTAAGCTCTGGAGCAAATGCCCTTGAAGAGTATAACTGCACAGTCTATTTGCCTTTAACCTCCTCGGCGGAATGATTCTTTCCGATTTTTTTGTGCTGAAAGCGGTACCATTTTTTTGCATGGAAATATGTCGTTTTTTATTGTAGGCTGTAATTTTTAGGAATAACTCACTGAAATCTGTACGAACAAGAGTCTAGTAAACATTCCGGTGATGATAAAACTTGAAACACGAAATCATAAATTATAATTTAATAAATAATCATAAACAATAATAATAAATTCAATAATATCAAACCAAAAAAACTGAAATTTGAAATACAGAGGCAAATTCGCACATCGCTGAGCAAAGTCGCAAAATCATTTTCAGTGTCTGATGAGGATTTTCCCCACAAATCATCACTTAATTCTGCAAGTGGTTCTGATTTACTATCGCTGTTCTAAAACCGCTTTTGATGTAAAGGGATGCTTTTTGGATGCCATAGACTTTTCTAAGTTTCCAGGCAGAAAGAACAGTCAAAATGCAGGCAGGGCACAGGACAAAGCAGTAGGGACCAAATATATGTGAAATGCATTGAAACAGCAATGACAGCAAAAATGAAATTTTTTTAAAATTTCTAATTTCCCGCTGGTTCCGGCGCCCGTATGTTCCGACGTCAAGGGACCGGAACACGGAAGCCGGATGATGGCATCGGCCGGAGGAGATGGCCGGGGACGCTGCAGGGAACACATCGCTGGAGCGAAGGACAAGGTAAGTGCTGCAGGGACCCCCTGAGCAACGCCGCATGGTAAGCCCGAGTGTAGCTCGGGGTTACCGCTCTTGGTATAGAAATTTTACCCCGAGCTACACTCGGGAAAACCGCTAAGGAGGTTACTAAAATAACCCCGTGGATGTGTTTGCTCCTGTTTCTCACTTATAATTTAGTCAAAATATGGAATTTTGCTTGCTAACTGCGATCTGCAGGTCTACCTCCTGGATTCAGACCATTCCTAGATGCAATATAGAACTGAATTCAGATTCACACAAGTATGTTGTTGCAAATGAAATGAAAGGACATGGGTTGATTTACTAAAACTGGAAAGTGCAGAATCTGGTGCAGCTCTGCGTGGTAGCCAATCAGTGTCTAACTCCAGCTTGTTCGGTTAAGCTTTGACAAAATAACCTGGAATCTGATTGGTTTCTATGCAGAGCTGCACCCCAAATTTTGCACTCTCCAGTTTTAGCAAATCAACCCCACAGTGTTTTGCCCACCAAGTCTTGGGAACATACCCAGGGCTGTGTAACGAAGGTCCTCCAAACCTGGCTTTCAAATTGCATTTCAAAAGCTTGATTTGTCCACAAATTAATAGGATCTTCTTCAGCTCTTCCTCTTCTGACATTTTCTCCAAATTGTATGAATATGAATTCATGATCCATTTTTCTGAAATCTTCATGTCTTCAGCAGCAACAAAACCATAAAATTTTACGAGTGAAACAACATACAATGATTGTGTTTGTGCTTCAAAATATAAGTAACTAATTGTTAGAGTATTGCTTTTGAAAGCATAGGTATAGCTAAAATAGGACAGAACAATCAGCACAAGGCACATAACTTGCAGTCAGTAGGATGGGTCCCTTGTGCTAATTCCTTTTCTGTTTGTAGAAATCTTCTTCCATCCCCCCCCCCTCACACTTCCATTATCCTCTGGTGCAGCAGGGATTAATACAACTCATTACTCTTCACTAAGGGACACAAGTCACTCTTTGTTGCACCCACTGGCAGCATAATCCACAAAAAGAGCTCAGGTAAAATCGCAGCCTGAGCCCAGGATGCATGCCCACCATTGCCCTGTGAAAACGGGTTCATTAGGCAGCCAGTATTCACAAGAAGTGGGCTCAGGCCTATTGCTTGCATTTAAAAAAAACACATTTGATGGTGTGTTCATTAATATACTGTAGAGCTGCATTTGCCTGGGTCTTTTTCTTTTTTTTATATATATATATATCTGCCTGGTGTACAGCTTAGCAGTACTTCTGTGCTTTGCCCATGTAAGGCAAAGTTGTACTACAGACCTTCGCAGACCGTGGTGATGTTCAGGAGGGATTGGGGAAGAGGCTAGAGCTTGGAAATTAGGAAGATTATCTTTATCTATTAATTATATTAACTTTCTACAGATTAGAGATGGGTTTAAAGTACTGTCATTTTTTTTTTTTTTTAATTCTCTTTATTGACTTTCATGAGTGGAGAATACAAAACAATGCCTATTGGGCATACCCAGGCTTGATCAAGTCACAAAACAGTACAAAGAAGAAGAAAAAAAAAAAACAATGAACAAAGTAAGGTTAACAACAACAAACGACAACCGCACCTGATGATATCACAGGACTTAATTATGGCAGAAAATAATTCCCACGGAAAGAAGACTGTTGGGGATCCCACACCGAGCAAAGTAACCTATGACAAGAGATAGAAATCCATACCGCAATCCTGATCAGAGCTGGAAGGGACCAATTCTCAAGAATCAGTCCAAATATGCCACACCTTAGTAAATTTAGCAGGGCACTCCCTAGATTCATAAGTGTATTTATATAGTGGGAGGACCGTATTAACCAAATGTTTCCAGAAGCTGGATGTGCGGGTATGAGGGGACTTACACTTTAAGAGTATCGCTTTACGAGCATAAAAAAAGCAAGAAACCAATCAAGGTTCTCATGGCGCGAGAGATAGCCAAGGCCCGAACCAAATCCAACAGACAGACCTCAATAGACAGTGGTATGAAAATAGTAGTTATAGAGGATATAGTGTCAACTACATCTGCCCAGAACCTCTGGATAACAGGGCAGCTCCAGAAGATGTGCAAAAATGGTGCTGGATCCTCAGAACAACGCCAACATCTAGAAGGGTGAGCTGGAAACATCCGGTGTAGCCTCTAGGGAGTATAATATATTCTGGGAAGAATTTTGAACTGAATTAATCGGTCCCGAGTAGAAACCAATTGCTGCACAGGATGCTCCCATATATCCTCCCAATCCTCGGAGTCCAAAATAGGCACCTCTGTGTGCCAAAGTACTGTCATTTTTAATTGTTGCCTGTGTCCCCTTGGGGAGATTTTCCCATATTTCCTGTCAAGTGACTGAAACAGGAAGTGTACTTTTCTGCAGTTTAGTAGTTGGTAAAGAAAAGGGGCCTTAAAGGATAAGTTCACCTTTAGGAACATGTTACATGTTCCATCTGTTTTTAGGGTGGAATATGTGACATGTTCCCATAGCTGCAGCCGTGCCCGCTGCCCCCTCCCTCTGACAGCTAATACGGGGAGAATTCTTCCCGTACTATCTGTCAGATTTGAAAACAGTGCGGCCATGTGAGGCTCCACCCACACGGCCGCGTCATTCATTCTGTGAATCAATGAACTGCAAGTCCTGTCAGCCTTAGCGGCTGTGGGTTTGTAGTTTTCAATGATCTACCACGGCACTATGGAGCATCGTAGTTCTTTGAAGCTTCCTGTCAGAATATCTGCTTGCTTGTACATCCCGTAACGCAAGCAGATATTCTGACAGGTCTGCAGGAGACCTGCATGGCATCAGCGATCTACTGATCGCTGGTGCAATGCTTTACAGGCTCCTTTGGACAAAAATAATAAATGCACATTTTTTTACGTGCAAAAAAAATGTGCATTTATTATTTTTGTCCAAGAGGTGAACTTATCCTTTAGGAAAAAATACGTGAGGGTGTCACTACAGACCCAATTCTAAGAAGACCGTTTTTCTCCTGATTTGCTTGTTGAAGGTCAGCAACTACTAGTTTTCAAGCTATTAGGTCAGCTTGGCACAGAGCTGTAGCAATTTCAGTTGCAAGCAGTGGCAGAATGTGTTTCTTTTATCCGCTTTCCTTTAAATGATAGCTATGAAGGTAATGATTGACAGGACTGACTTAATTAGCAATGATGTTTCTTTCAGGTTGTCGGCTTCATCTATGGCTTTGTGATTGAACAGTTTGGCTGGACAGTATACATAGTGATTGCTGGCTTTGCTGTGTCTTGCTTGGTATGTTTATTTTTATCTTTTACTCTTTATTTTACTATCCAAAGCTGTCTTTTTTTTTTTTTTTTTTTTTTTGAAGGGTAGTAAGATTTTTAAATGAAGTGACAGATGATCTTAATATTCACTTTAAATTGCAGTTAACACTTCCTCCTTGGCCAATGTATCGTCGCCATCCACTAAAATGGCTTCCCGTCCAGGACAGTGCTACAGATGACAAGAAACAGCAAGACAAAAAATCCAAAAAGCACAAGTAACTTCTATGCTTAAGGGCCCAACCACCAAGTCACATGACCATCAGTGAAAAATGGACTTGAACTGATATTCTTTCTGCTAAGCAGAAAATTGTACTGATAGAGATTGTTATGGTATTGTATAAACGTCCAATAAAATGGCCACGCTATTGTTTATGATTTGTCTCACTTCTTTTTTGCTATGTTATGCTTTTTTTAATGTTTTTCTTGGGTGAATTAAAACCGTACAACAGACAGAAAAAATAAATTGAATGCACTTATTTATTCTTTAAATGTATTTTCATGTGATTGGTTTACCTGTTAAATATCCTGACAAAAATATGATGTTTTGGATTACATAGATAGCTTTAGTAATTAACTGTATGCAGTCACCAGGTGGATACTTGTATTGTGATGCAAGTAGTAGTTTCCTTTAGCTGCATCAAATGCACTTCTAAACCACTGGGCCATGGCCACACTCCCCAGGGGCTTCCAGCCACGTACAGATCCCCTTACCACTCATAGCGTCACCCAGCTCCCATAGTGATCCACTATGCCCCTCAACCTCCCCCAGGTCCCATGAGACCCACTAGGAGATCTTTCAACAGGGACACTAGTTCTGTTGACAACCAGTATTTTCTCTCACTTCCTGTTGTGGCTATGGGGTAGGAAGTGAAGAGAAATCTCCCCAACAGGACACAGATGGCAAAAAAAAAAAAAACCTGACATGTTATACACCCTGCCTTAAGCTGGCCATACACGTATAGATTTTCGTTCAATAATTTTCATTTCAAGGATATTCATTTGATTTCTAATCGTTAGTGGGGTAAAATCGATGTTTGTTTTCGACCGCAGTGATGGGAAAATTCGAAGGGGCAGGAAGGAAAACTTTTCTTGATCAAATGAATTTTCAGCCGATGTACAGTTGTGTTCAAAATAATAGCAGTCAGACATCACTAACCTGATCAATCACTGTTTTTGGTAGAAATGATATTTCTACATGGCAAATAATTTACTAGCAGGTGTAGTAGAGTAATAGAAATCCAACAGACCCAACAGTCATGACATGCATGCTGCTGATTCTATGTAATTGAATCACTAATTGAAAGGGGCATGTTCAAAATAATAGCAGTGTGGAGTTCTATTAGTGAGGTCAGTCATTCATTCTTTGAAAAACAGGTGGCAATTATTGCCCTTATTTAAGGAAGGAAGGCAGCAAATGTTGTACATGCTGGTTACAGTGCATTTCTCTCTGAAATTCTGAGGAAAATGGGTCGTTCCGGACATTGTTCAGAAGAACAGCGTACCTTGATTAAAAAGTTGATTGGAGAGGGGAAAACATATAAAGAAGTGCAGAAAATGATAGGCTGCTCAGCTAAAATGATCGCAAACGCTTTAAAATGGCAACCAAAACCTGAAAGACATGGAAGAAAGTGAAAAACTACCATTCGAATGGATAGAAGAATAGCCAAAATGGCAAGGACTCAGCCAACAATCAGCTTCAGGAAGATGAAAGAAGGTGTAAAGTTACCTGTGAGTACTGTTACAATTAGAAGATGCCTATGTGAAGCCAAGCTATCTGCAAGAAGCCCCCGCAAAGTCCCACTGTTGAAAAAAAGACATGTGCTGAAGAGGTTCCAATTTGCCAAAGAGCACATTGACTGGCCTAAAGAGAAATGGCGCAACATTTTGTGGACTGACGAAAGTAAGATTGTTCTTTTTGGGTCTAGTGGCCGGAGACAGTTTGTCAGATGACCCCCAAACACTGAATTCAAGCCACAGTACGCTGTGAAGACAGTGAAGCATGGTTGCGCAAGAATCATGATATGGGGATGTTTCTCATACTACGGTGTTGGGCCTATTTATCGCATACCAGGAATCATGGATCAGTTTGAATACATCAGAATACTTGAAGAGGTCATGCTGCCTTATGCTGAAGAGGAAATGCCCTTGAAATGGGTGTTCCAACAAGTCAACGACCCCAAACACACCAGTAAACGTGCAACATCTTGGTTCCAGACCAACAAGATTGATGTTATGGAGTGGCCAGCCCAATCCCCGGATCCTAATCCAATAGAAAACTTGTGGGGTGACATCAAAAATGCAGTTTCTGCAGCAAAACCAAGAAACAGAGAACTGTGGAATGTAGTCCAATCATCCTGGGCTGGAATACCTGTTCACAGGTGCCAGAAGTTGGTTGACTCCATGCAACACAGATATACAGCAGTTCTCAGAAACAGTGCGCATACAGCTAAATATTAATTAAGTGATTCAAAGGAAAGCAAAATCTGCAAACATTTTTCAGTTTATATAGTGAATGTTTGCGTTTCTAAAGAAGAATACAAAACACTGCTATTTTTTGAACAGTCTAATATTCACTTTTCTTCAATTTTTTTTTAGAGGAACAATACAAATTTGATATATTTTTCTTCATGTTTTGATTTGGAATAGAATGTGTAGTGTTCCCAATGCATTTGTGTGTATGGAAATAAAAGCTATTAGAAGGATTTTGAGCTGTATTCACTTTTTTCAACACACTGCTATTATTTTGAACACAACTGTATGTGGTTATCATTCAGAAATTACATTCATTTTAAACTCGAATGTTAAAAGCAAAAGGCAATTTGTGGACAACATTCATCCATTCACTGAATGTTCAAACAATTTTCGTACGACTTTTGTACGAATATTCTCATCCGAAAATCTACACGTGTATGGCCAGCTTTACCTACAATGGGGAAAAAAAACATTTGCCTTTAGTTGTACTTTAACTGATGAGCTTCTAATAGTTTTATACTTATCAATTATTACAATTTTATTTTAGAAAATAATAAGCCAGGAAGAAAATACTTTTTTTTTTTTTTTTTTACAGACAGCTTTGTTAGTATTTGAACTGAAGAACATAAATGCAACCTTTCGTACCCTTCCAACTGGCTATTTATGTTACATGTTGTACTATCTTTTCCAGATCTAAAAAAACCTGTTTAGTGCAAGGGCCTGCCTAACTGAACACAGTTTGAATGCATGATTTAAACAGGTCCTCACCTTACACAGTTTTGTTAAATCTAAAGGAAACTGTACAGATATTGCACAATCAGATTTAAACTTTTATGGCCAGCCTTAGGCTAAACTAACAAAAGCATAGAATGTACTCCTCTAAATGTGAGCTTTCCTATAGTAACAAGTGTGGCTAGTAGTCTTCTATACAAAACAAACTGAAGACAGGGGAAAATATATATATAATATATAAGGATAAGCCTCCCACGCTACCTGCTTATGATTATAGAAAGGAAGCAGCTATTGGCTGACTATATGCCTAGATAGAACATAATTGAATAAAAAAAAAAGTGGTGCAGTCTATCCCAGAGACCTCTATGTCCTCATCCACATATTTAAACCATAATCGACAATGCAACCTGGCAATGGTTGTAACAAGTAAAAATTGGTACCATACATATATTAGTGAAGAAAAAAGAAAGAAAGAGAGAAACATGCTGACCAGGGAAAAATGGTTAGTATTGTATTACGTGCAATGTGAAACGTGAATAAATTGAAAAACTTCCTTTGAAACATAGGATGTGTAGCCAGTCTCCAGAATTTAATCTGATAGAAAATCTGTGGAGGGAGCTGAAAGTTCGAGTTGTCAAATGTCAGCCACCAAACCTTAACGACTTGGAGAGGATCTGCCGAGAGGAGTTGGTCAAAATCCCTCCTCAGATGTGTGCAAACCTGGCGGCCAACTACAGGAAACGTCTGCCCTCTGTGATTGCCAACAAGGGATTTGCCACCAAGTACTAAGTCATGTTTTGTGAAGGGGATCAAATACTTATTTCCCTCATGAACATGCAAATCAGTGCATAATTTGTTAGACATGCATTTGTTTGAATTTTGTGTTGCTATTCTGTCTCTCAGTGTTACAATACACCTACCATTCGATTTTTAGACTGATCATTTCTTTGTGAGTGGGCAAACATTTAAAAGCAGCAGGAGATCAAATACTTATTTCATTCACTGTATATTTCAAATAGAAAAAAAACTTGAACATTTCAAGCACCTAGACCATGTGCAGTTTGGTATGTTGAAGTCTCTGGCTTAGATTTTTTTTGTCTTGCTGCTGCAAAGCTTAAGAGTTTTTTTCCTGATGGATGGTGTATGCTACGGCCATTGCATTGTTCTACTGCATCTAGGTCAGCTGACCTTCCAACATGATGAGCAAATGATGCAAAGGCAGTCAAATTGAAGCTTCGGGATGTTAATCGGAAGATGAGATTCCACCTGTGATCAACCAGCAGGGTGCCCATGACTCCTCTGCAACCTAACAGCTTAGCATCCATCATGAGGATCTTCCAAAGGACAAAAAGGAAAGAGTTTCACGATTGAAGAAACCGACTGATCAGCCAGGGACAACTGGGTCCTGCTGTCAATGGCATGGTCTGTCCAAACACTGGATTGACTGGCCCCATGATGTCAGGATGTTGTTTTGAAGGAGGCTGGAGTAACCTGGTCAAATGGGACTGCCTCCAGTGGAGGCTACCATCAGCCCCAGGACTTTCAGGGCTCACTTGTTGATTATGAAGATTGAAGCAATGCTCGTTAACACACCTATAGCATTTATGATGTGTTTTTAAAGCATTGAAAAAGCTTCAAGAATGCTTGATAAAAGCCCATGAAAGTGTTGCTTTTCTAGTCGGAAGTGATGTGGAGGAAATTATCTACTGCATGGTTAGGTTGTGTGATAACAGACATTTTTGTGATTTCTCTGCAGGATGAATTCATATACTTTGATCTCTTTGACATTTAGCTTGCTCCAGCTCAACTTTGCTGAAACAAAAAGCTTTACCCCTGGCAATAATGCTCAATGCCAATGCTCCTGCCTGGCACTGTCAGGATCCCATGGAGTGTTTCCATTGCTTCTCAAGGAATGACTTAAACAGAAGGTATAACAGAAAGATCTTTTTGAGCTGTGGGAGCTCTAAAAGACCCTTTTGAAAAAAAAAAACAGACTGATACGCTAAACACATGCTACCTTAGACTTGCATCTACCAGGTTAGATTGTAAATTTGTCATCTGCAAGTGCCTCAAAACCAACCTCTCCAGGAGCAAAATCTGAATAAGAGATGGCAACAGACTCGGGAAGATCAGAGCTATACTCTACAGAGTGCACTTGGAGCAGCGGTGCTCAACCTGTGGCCCTCAACCTCAAACCAAAAAAAGCACAGGCCCGGGGTTGACAACCCGTTGATTGCAACCTGGACTTGCTGACCCACCATCCCAGAGCATGAGAGTGCACTGAGTCGTTGCCAGAGGGCGATACCAGCAAAGAGGAAAAGAAGGTCGGTGTATTAAACACAAAAACTGCATTTTTGCAATGGGCATATTAGCACCTGTAAAAAGGGGTTAACCACTATTAGGCTGTTTTACTACTGATCTGCGGATGCAGCATAGTGCACCTGCACCTTTCCTGTGGGTTAGCTGCACTGAGCCATAGACGTCTATTATATCCTGCAGGTTTGGTGCCCTTTATGAAAGTGTACCACACCCGCAAGATATAATAGAAGTCTATGGCAAAGCACAGCTAACCCACAGGAAAGTCATAGGTTTTCCTGCAGTGTGGAAGCAGCCTTATAGGGGGCTGAGGACAGTAAGTGTTTGTTTATATTTGCAGTTTGGGGTGTGGTAAAACCGCATAGTTGAGAGAGGTTTTTACTACATGCCCCAAATTACTGGTTTAGCATCATGGGTCACAATGGGAACACTGCCCCATACTCCAGGGGGCCCATGTGGCTTCCCTGTCACATTCTGTTTTACACTTGGACAGGAGAGGCGGCATACAGTGCCTTGAAAAAGTATTCATACCCTTTTAAATTTTCCACATTTTGTCATGTTACAGCCAAAAACATAAATTTATTTTATTAGGATTTTATGTGATAGACCAACACAAAGTGACACATAATTGGGAAGTGGAAGGAAAATGATTTTCAACATTTTTTACAAATAAATATCTGAAAAGTGTGGCGTGCATTTGTATTTAGCCCCCTTTACTCTGATACCCCTAACTAAAATCTAGTGGAACCAATTTCCTTCAGAAGTCACAATATTAGTAAATAGAGTCCACCGATGTATAATTTAATCTCAGTATAAATACAGCAGTTCTGTGAAGAGGTTTGTTGGAGAACAAACAGAATCATGAAGGCCAAGGAACACACCAGACAGGTCAGGGATAAAGTTGTGGTGACGTTTAAAGCAGGGTTAGGTTATTAAAAAAAATATCCCAAGCTTTGAGCATCTCACAGAGCACTGTTCAATCCATCATCTGAAAATGGAAAGAGTATGGTACAACTGCAAAATTACCAAGACATGGCCATCCACCTAAACTGACAGGCTGGACAAGGACAGCATTAATCAGAGAAGCAGTCAAGAAGCCCATGGTAACTCTGGAGGAGCTGCAGAGATCCACAGCTCAGGTGGGAAAATCTGTCCACAGGACAACTATTAGTCGTGCACTCCACAAATATGGCTTTTATGTTAGAGTGGCAAGAAGAAAGTCATTTATGAAAAAAACAGCCATCAGAAGTCCCGTTTGCGAAATACCAGGTGGGGGACACAGCAAACATGGAAGAAGGTGCTCTGGTCAGACGTGCCAAAATTGAACTTTTTGGCCTAAAAGGAAAATGCTACGTGTGATGGAAAACAGCAGCATCATGTTGTGGGGATGCTTCTCTTCAGCAGGGACAGGGAAGCTGATCAGAGTTGATGGAAAGATGAATGGAACCAAATACAGGGCAATTTTAGAAAACCTGTTAGAGTTTGCAAGACTTGAGACTGGGGTGGAGGTTCACCTTCCTGCAGGACAATGACCCTAAACATACAGCCAGAGCTACAATGGAATGCTTTAGATCAAAGCATATTTATGTGTTAGAATGGCCCAGTCAAAGTCCAGACCTAAATCCAATTGAGAATCTGTGGCAAGACTTGAAAATTGCTGTTCACAGACGCTCTCCATCCAATCTGACAGAGCTTGAGCTATTTTGCAAAGAATGGGCAAAAATGTCACTCTCTAGATATGCAAAGCTGGTAGAAACATACCCAAAAAGACTTGCAGCTGTAATTGCTGCGAAAGGTGCTTCTACAAAGTATTGACTCGGGGGGCTGAATACAAATGCACACCACACTTTTCAGATATTTATTTGTAAAAAATGTTGAAAACCATTTATCATTTTCCTTCCACTTCACAATTATGTGCCACTTTGTGTTGGTCTATCACATAAAATCCCAATAAAATACATTTACGCTTATGGCTGTAACATGACAAAATGTGGAAAAGGGGTATGAATTCTTTTTCAAGGCACTGTATAAAGAAACCGATCCTCTCCATTCTCCTCCATTCCCCCCCACCGGCATTCAGTGGTTGCAGGAGGAAAATGTTCAATAAATGATTTTTAATGGATTCACGCTATGAGTTTGCTTTCATATCTTTCCCTGATTCCGGAGTGTAATACTTTGGAAGATGTCCCCTCCATCATATCAATCTCTAATTGATGAAGGGCTTGTTGATTGATGATCTGTACTACGCTCACACTCACCACAAGCGCTATTGCCTATCAGGTTTGGATGGGCTACAATATCTGGTGAGTGACACTGAATTGGGGGAGATTTTCCTCTTGAGCACTTGGTGATATCTGAGTGCACTTTATTCAATCAATTATCGATATGTTGTTCACGTGGTGATCTCGGTGGATCAATAAGGACTTTGCACTTCATCACAATTTTTATTTTTCAGTTGGTGAACTTATGTCAAATGATTTAAATATTTGTGTATATTTTTTGAAGTTTTGTATTATATTCCCACTTTGCGATTGTGTTTCACTTTTTTTTTTGCGCTGCTTTTATTTGTCATTGTTTCATGAGGTGTATCAAACATCTTGAAAAAAGTCATTAGGAAAGATCAAAAATATACATGGCTAGTGAAGAAGCGAGGCATGCTGTGTAGAGGCGGGGCTATATAGGGGCTGGCTCAAAACATTTTTTTCTGTTTTCCTAGCCTTCTGTAGATAGCAGTATAACCCGACTTTCAGAATTCCTGTGTCCCTCCATGGACAAAGTAAAACTGACAATGCATTGGAAACAGCAAGACTCCCTACTCCTTTCGATGCAAATGAATGGAAAAAAGGTAATGAGTATTATATTACATGCATAAAATAGTGCAATGTTTTTCTTTTCCATAAATTATTTTTAATCTCTTGCAATGTGCCTTTAAACTTGTCAGAAAACTTTACTACTTCAGGAGAATCAATTCTCTACAACAGTCCCCTCCATCCTGCCATATGATGCTCTCTTCTCTTCTGAGTGTCTAATTTACACTGAACCACCATCTCTACCCCTACCCTTGCCTCACTACAAAAACTTTTATGTAGCTGCCAGGGAAGGAGCAAAGGAGAATACTACAGAGTATCCCTTGAGTGACAGCTCTGAGGTTGCTAGGCCTGCTGACATCTATGATGGTGGTGCCAAGCAGCATCATCGGGGCTTTAGGATGTCTACTCAAGGGAAACATTTACAGTTAAATAACATACATATATTACATTCAAATGCACATATAATCATATGCGAAGATTTTTGATGAAATGAATGGTCTGGCAACAGGGTCCTTTTAACCAGTAAGCAATTTTTTAAAACTGTGGGTAACCTGGGATAGCATCTGAGAGGAAAACAATAAAGAGGCTTTACAAACTACATTCTGTACATGGACAGTACCCAATTTTGGTTTTACTGTTATTGACTGCTGACCTACATGAACATTATTACAAAGACAAAAAAAAACAAAAAACTTTAGTCATAGGTAGAAACATGTTATAAATCACATTTTTGTATTTCAGAAGGCAGGAAACATTGATAGGTTTTGAATAAGGCACAAGAACATTAAAACATACAGTCCAAAAAAGTCTATATTACAACAACGTAACGTTCCAAAATCTATCATGTGAAACTGTTCTGTAAATGAACATGATTCTAAATATCCCTTCTGTATAAAAGTGGCAATATTAAAAACTATTGCTCCTCAAACTTCCTCTGCATAGAGAAAAAAAAAATAAAAGAGAACAGTGTGATCTTTTTTTTGTAAATATGTAAAAAAAAAAATAGTTTTAGGGATAGTTCATGTTTTTGTTTTTTTTTTTTAGATCAGTTATAGTCAAGTTTGAGCTTTGTTTTTATTCCTCCAGTGTTAATGCTTCAGGTCAATGTCACAAGGGATACAAAACACAAACACTTCACAATGTACCACAAACTGATCTCAAATGCCCATTTGCACTAGCTCCAATAAATCCCTTATAATTATTTATCTAAAATTTTGAATTATCTTCAAAAAATTTAAGCTGCCGCACTTTCAGATTGTAGTCGTCATACTTCTCTCCAAGTATATTCTGTAAATGCAACTGCAAGAAAAGAAAAAAAAAGATAAGCGTTATGTTTTGAAATCAATGATAAAAATAGAGAATAAATTTCTTTTCTGACTAATGTCATTAAAACCTACATCATGGCACTGTATTTTAAAGGATAAGGTCACCTTTGTAAAAAATAAAATAAATAAATAAAATGATAAATGCACATCTTTTTGCAGGTAAAAAAAATGTGTATTTATAATTTTTTTTGTTATTAGGAGCCTGCAAAGCATTGCACCCTCGATCAGCAGATCCCAGGTGCAATGAAGGACTCCTGCAGACCATCTGTGTAAGCTGTCTGCTCGTACCCCACAAGGGCAGACAATTACACGCTAACAGGAAGAAAAAAATGAACTACTTAGAGCACTCAACAGCGCCCTGGTAGTTGAGAACTACAAACTGACAGCCGCAAAGGCTATTGGTACTTGTAGTTCTCCCATTCACAGAACTCTGAGCTTGTTGGGCGGAGCCCCGTATGGCTGCTTTTTTAAAAAAAAATTGTGATAGCGAGTTTGGAGAGATCTCCAGCTCACTGTCACTACAAGTGGCGGGTTGGGAAGCAGCTGCCAACTTTATTTAGATAATGTATAAGAAAGAAGAGAGAGAGCCGCCTTCTAAGTGCAGTATTAAACACAATTTAATAAGCCTCTGTATACATAAAAGTATGTAAGATATAAAAAAGAAGTAAAAGTATATAAGAAGTAAAAAAAACCCATCAGTAAGGGATAATCTCCAGGTTTTCCGCCATCATCCACATCCTGCAGAAGTCCATCCGACTGCCATAGAGGCCACCGTGGGTGTTAGAAGGGTCCCAGAACGCTGCCAGCAGAAACGGAAGTGTCTGTGACCAGGGCGGATGTGATGTCACCAAAGGGAGAGGTCGGAAACAAAGGAAGAAACAGGCTATGTGCTCGGAGCTAGCTGCTCCTTCTACAGGTCTGTCTCTCTTCTTTCTTATACATTACATGTAACATGTTCCCACAGGTAAACTTATCCTTTAGAGGAGACCTGTCATTTTGAGGCTGACATAATGTGTATAGGAAGGGGATAGGGAAGGTCAATGCTGTTTTTTTTCACTTCCTGTCTTGGAGACACAACAAATGAAAGGAAATTTCTCCAAAGCATGGGAAAATCATTTTTTATCAGTGGTGTCTACCCTGGAAGATTTTCCCTCACTCCCTTTTCCAATGTCAACTGTAACATTTTGGGTTTCCAATGATGTTCTGTTCTTATACAAATGGTCACCAGGACAAACAGAGAGGGTAAGACTACTAAATAAGAACACAGATAGCAATATAAATCTGCCAGATGTTATAACCCCTCCCTACTCTATACAAAACTACACAAAATGAGTTAGTGTGCCTGTGACCCGGTGTCTCACCTGATTCCTCAGCTTGTCGGATCCTTGGCGTCACTTTGGGGATGACAAATGACGTCACGGTGACTGGAAGTGACATCATCCCCAAAGTGATGGCAAGGCTCAGACACACTGAGGAGTCAGGTGAGATGCTGTGTCACTGGTACACTAACAGAAGACATGGTGGACAGTCTGTTGATGCTGCAATGCAATGATTTTGAGATTTGATATGTTCATGATTTTAAATTTGCCTGTGAGTAGTATATTTGAAGATTAATTAATTTTAAGTGGTTTTATGTTATTGCATCAGAGTTCTTTTCTGCCTTACATTTACAGAACCACCAGATTGAATAATACTGAATGCCAGTGGTTATGAAGGACACCATAGGAAGGAATGCAGATAAAGAGATTTGTGCCGATCGTTTACATGTAATTAAATGGGAGTGGTGGACTGGAATGTGATACTCTATTAATTCTATGTACACTATTGAAGCACTGCTATTGATCTGGTGAACTATTGGGGACTTTCATATGAAGTGGATAATTTGGGGACTGTCATTTGGATTCTTAGTAATGATTTAGTACTTCTTGAAATCTATAGACACTTTTTGATTTCTTGTTTGACACAAGCCTATAGGAATATCTTAAAGCAGGTCAAACAAGGATCAACTGCAGGTCAAATGCACCAATCAAATTCTGAATGATCTCAGAAGCTTCTCAAACTGATGTCAAATTGATGCCATCAACACAGGCCATAAAACAGTTTCTAAGGAAAGAGAGCCCTGAAGGTGTTTTACAGTGAAGAGGGACACTGGTGGAGAAAACACTGGAACTAAGTTAATAAAAAGGAAAATAAAGAAGTGTTGTTAAGAAAAGGAAAGTAAAATTGGGTGAAGACAATTAATTAGCAATTACTAATGAAAAAAGTAAGCAATATTAAAGTGATATCTTTTTTTTTTTTTACCAACATTGTCTCCAATTATTTGTCAAAAAGGAAATCAAAATGTTAATATGTAGTCCCAAAAGAGTTCAGAGTACAGAATGACTAAGACAAATGTATGATTGTATCATATAACAGATCGTTTAAAAACATACATAAAGTTAATGCTTTAAGCAAGTCTGGGTACTGACACAATAACCTATCAAGGTAAACATCAGCTTAAAAAAGAGACTAAAAAAGAGACTTGTGCTGAAACGATATAGAAGCTGCTACTTCTGACCTTTAGTTCATTGACAGTAGTGTGGCTCTCATGCTGGAGCAACTATGCAAATCTGTCTACACTCTGACCACAGACAAGTATGTAGCAAGTAAAGTCACAGACATCAAATGTGAAAACGTGCCAACCCAGGATTATTTCTGCAGCGCTGCTTATACAGGGCACTCTAGAAACAGACCTCCAGCTTCCCACTGTTTTTATTTTTACAATGCAGGGGTAGGGAGGTGAATAATGAAAATGACCGCCATCACCAAGCTCAATTTTCTTTTCACTAAAAAAAAAAAAAAAAGAGTTTATATATTATAGTATATGTATAGCAATGTAAGACCTACATACCTCTTTCTGTCTGTCATCATCCTTATCCATGACATCATACACTTGTTCCAGGACCTTCACTCCAAGACCCTTCACAACATCAGTTCTCAAAGCCTCAATCATTCTGCGGAACTTTTGAGGAACAGTTAAGTTATCTGCACATGACAAAAAATGAAATGTTCTCAGACTAGTTGGGGTGAACAGCTCCTGTCTATACAGCACCTGTCTATGAAATGTCTAAACAGCATTTTAAAATACAGGTGTACCTTTAACTAAAATATCATTAGCCCCCCTCCCCCCCTGTAATGCCTATGAAATGTGTTGGCCTTGGACCCTTTGTTTCTTGGGTAATTTTTACAATAAAGCATTGTTGTCCAAATGCCAGGAGCATGAGAAGTGACTGATGTATCATTTCTCTAGGTCAAAGGAACAAAGTCACAAAATATTCTGCTGAGAGCAAGATAAACAGTTGTTTATGGAATGAAATGTGTTTATAACATCTAGTAACCTCACATTAGGAGATAAACACCTGTTTAAGGACACCTAAGTTAGAAATCCTTAAGTCTGGGGGGAGATGAAAAGAATCATGGGGTAGATAAGAAGCAAAAGTGTGACTTTTCAGATAACTAATATGGTGGTTGAACGTGACTCTGTTATCCTTGCGGAACCCTTCTGCTAGCTCCTCCTGTGGTGGGTGTGGCACCGCCCACTATTGGACAGCTTCCAGAAAATGGATTTATAAGGCGGAAGTCCGGGTGAGACCAGTAGAAGCCCCCCCCCCCCCCTCGTGGCCAGAGGACGCTCTGACGCTGAGATTTTTGCCAAGGCTGTATGGGCTCATCAACAGGTCTCGCCTACGACTTCCCCATGACCCCCCTGGGCAGTTTGGTTCTGATGGGATTTGTTCCTCCCAGCTTCCACATAGCTTTGGTAATGTGTTAATTCTATGATGTGATGCTGTCAAATGATGTGTATATATTATATTGCTGTAATGCTCACACTCTTATTGGTGTGTGTTATTATGCAGATTGTGATGACTATAAGATATATCCTCCTGTGTGTCGTGTGATAATAAGTGGAGGTTTTGACAGTGAAAGAATATTGCTGTTGTATTCTGTTATTTCTTGGAGTGCCGAGTGAATGCTATGATGTGCCAGGGCAGGTGTTCATTTGCTAGATGGTCTTGCACATGCGTAGAATATGTAATGGTTTAAATGCTGATTAAAAGGTACTTGCATGACTATATGTTGATTGTGTGCTTGTATATGACTTGTTTTTAGTTATTGCACCCAGCATCTGTATTAAATCCCTCCATCTCAGTTAAATTGCATTAATAAGCCCCACTTACTTACCTCTGTTGCAGAGCTCTGGTCCACTCCAGCATGCATCCAACAGGACAAAATTCTCTTTAGCATTATTAGAACCATGACTCTGCAATGGACTAATGTGAAACCGTCTGGGTAGGGGTGGGGTAGTGTAGGCAGTTAAATGTACACTTGTCCTTTAAGGGATGACCATTACTGCCTCATAATCACAAATAGTGTGGTGAATGTCAAACAGAAATTATTGGCCATCTGTATCAGGTAGAAATGAAATATATATTTATGCCTAGTTTTGTTGTAGTAAGCACGTGCCATCTTTTTTTCATGTTTGTAGCAGTTAGACTGTTGAAAAAAAGTAATTTGTTTACAGGCTCTGTGGATGCAATTTACATGAACAAGTGGAAGTGGTCAATAGAAGTGGCTTAATAGATGGCTGAGTCTGAGGTTTCAACCATATATAGAACTGTAAAGTTTATGCAGTCAGAGTTAAGGAAAAGGTTTACTTTGATTGCAATGATTCTAGTTAGTTACAGGCTTTTTTTGGAGAAACATTTTGGTATGTGCTATAACAATTTTCACTAGGAATTAAAAACTATTACCGTATTTTCCGGCGTATAAGACGACTGGGCGTATAAGATGACCCCCTACTTTTCCTGTTAAAATATGGGGTTTGAGCTATACTCGCCGTATAAGACTACCCCTCTTCCAACGCACACCAAATAAAAAAACATCAGATTTGATTTCAATATGGTATGCTATTTCAGTATGATATTCCAATGATGGGGTGCTATTCCTCCCACTGACACCAATGAAGAGGCACTACTCCTCCCACTGACACCAATGATGGGGCACTATTCCTCCCACTGATACCAATGATGGGACACTATTCCTCCCACTGACCCCAATGATGGTGCCCCATCATTAGTGTCAGTGTGTGAGGAATAGTGCCCCATCATTAGTCAGTGGGAGGAATAGTGCCCCATCATTAGTCAGTGGGAGGAATAGTGCCCCATCATTGGTGTCAGTGGGAAGAATCGTGCCCCATCATTGGTGTCAGTGGGAAGAATAGTGTCCCATCATTAGTGTCAGTGGGAGGAATAGTGTCCCATCATTGGTGTCAGTGGGAGGAATAGTGTCCCATCATTGGTGTCAGTGGGAGGAATAGTGCTCCATCATTGGTGTCAGTGGGAGGAATAGTGGCCCATCATTGGTATCAGTGGAAGGAATAGCACCCCATCATTAGTATCAGTGGGAGGAATAGCGCCCCATCATTGGTGTCAGTGGGAGGAATAGCGCCCCATCATTGGTGTCAGTGGGAGGAATAGCGCCCCATCATTGGTATCAGTGGCAGGAATTGCGCCCCATCATTGGTGTCAGTGGGAGGAATTGCGCCCCATCATTGGTATCAGTGGGGAGAATAGTGCCCCATCATTGGTGTCAGTGGGGAGAATAGTGCCCCATCATTCGTGTCAGTGGGGAGGAGGAATAGTGCCCCATCATTGGTATCAGTGGGGAGAACAGTGCCTCATCATTGGTATCAGTGGGGAGAACAGTGCCTCATCGTTGGTGTCAGTGGGGGAGGAACAGTGCCTCATCGTTGGTGTCAGTGGGGGAGGAACAGTGCCTCATCGTTGGTGTCAGTGGGGGAGGAACAGTGCCTCATCGTTGGTGTCAGTGTGGAGGAGGAATAGTGCCCCATCGTTAGTGTCAGTGGGGGAGAGGAGCGGCTGCTCCTTCTTCCAGTTCGGCCACTCGATTTTCGCGGGGGCTGCTCGGCTCCGCCTCCTCGCCGGTGATTGGTCGCCTGTGTGCCTTTCCAGTGCTGGCGCCCAATCATCGGTGAGGAGGCGGAGCCGAGCGGCCGCGTGACCATCGAGCGGCCGAACTGAAAGAAGGAGCAGCCGCGCTTCCTGGACCGGATCGTGGTGGGACCGGAGCCAGGTAAGGTACAGCAGCCCCTCTGCCCACCCCTGTACTTAGTGTCCGTTGGAGGAGGAGGGGGGGCGGCGCCGCCCCTCGAAAAAGTGCCGCCCTGACACACACGGCTCGCACCGGCGTATAAGACGACCCCGACTTTTCAGAAGATTTTCAGGGGTTGAAAAGTCGTCTTATACGCCGGAAAATACGGTAACTATGTTATTTCCCCCATGTGGAAGTCATCTGGTGTGGTGAAACATGTTGCTAAAGGGTTTTTTTTTTTTTGTTTTTTGTTTTTTTTTTTAGGTATTGGGAATAATGTGTTGGAATAGGGGTCAATTTAAGTTATGGTAGATATCAACAGAAATAAGCAACCCTCCCTTTCCCGCTATATGACACAGATGTTACAAATTTCACCATTGAAGATGAGAGGCTATTCATTCATAGACAAAAAGTTAAAACCTATGCTATACTTCACAATAAAGAGGTAAAAGGTGTTTTTTGGAAAAAGCAGTAATAAGTCATTTTTAAAATTGTAAATAAAATGTATCAGTCTAGGAAGCAATGCACCAGTGGTTATAGGCTAAGTTCACCTTTTCCAGAAAATAGCCTTTGTAGTCAAAGAGCCCCATTAGCGCCTACAATTCTGTGCAACTTTGTAAAATGGTCATTATTTTTTATTGTATTACCTATAGGCCTTTTGGGTCCCTTCAAACACCTGGCTAAAAAACTTCTAACTAGCAACGCCCACACTCTGATTTGTTAGGATGTAAAAATTGTTGAATGCTCACTCCCAGCATTGCAGGAGTAAAAACCAATGATCTTTGCAATCTAGTAACAAGGCAGGATGTGGGGGTTGCTAGCAACAATTTATTTTAGCCAGGCTTTTGAGGGGACCCAAATGACCTACAACAGTGATGGCGAACCTTTTTGAGCCCGAGTGCCCAAACTGCAACCCAAAACCAACTTATTTCTTTCAAAGTGCCAACACTGCAATGAAACCTGAATATCGAGCTTTTGGTTTAGAAAAAACAACTCGTACAGTAGTGCAAACTAATTAACAGTACAGGGATGACCAGAGACTGCGGACACAGTACAGGGATGACCAGAGACTGCGGACACAGTACAGGGATGACCAGAGACTGCGGACACAGTACAGGGATGACCAGAGACTGCGGACACAGTACAGGGATGACCAGAGACTGCGGACAGTACAGGGATGACCAGAGACTGCGGACACAGTACAGGGATGACCAGAGACTGCGGACACAGTACAGGGATGACCAGAGACTGCGGACACAGTACAGGAGATGACCAGAGACTGCGGACAGTACAGGGATGACCAGAGACTGCGGACAGTACAGGGATGACCAGAGACTGCGGACACAGTACAGGGATGACCAGAGACTGCAGACACAGTTACAGGGATGACCAGAGACTGCGGACAGTACAGGGATGACCAGAGACTGCGGACACAGTACAGGGATGACCAGAGACTGCGGACACAGTACAGGAGATGACCAGAGACTGCGGACAGTACAGGGATGACCAGAGACTGCGGACACAGTACAGGAGATGACCAGAGACTGCGGACACAGTACAGGGATAACCAGAGACTGCGGACACAGTACAGGGATGACCAGAGACTGCGGACACAGTACAGGGATGACCAGAGACTGCGGACAGCACAGGGATGACCAGAGACTGCGGACAGTACAGGAGATGACCAGAGACTGCGGACAGTACAGGGGATGACCAGAGACTGCGGACAGCACAGGGATGACCAGAGACTGCGGACAGTACAGGAGATGACCAGAGACTGCGGACAGTACAGGGGATGACCAGAGACTGCGGACAGCACAGGGATGACCAGAGACTGCGGACAGCACAGAGATGACTGCTGACCTTTGGGGAGGGAGGGGGAGCGGGTACCTGAATTTGACAGGTACCCGCTCTTACTTCCGCGGAGTTGTTCTTTGATCTTACCTGTTCCTTTATCCAGCCGCGCGCTGTCTTCCCGGCTTCTGTAGTGTGGGCGCTCGTCGGACAGCCGGATGCCCAGTGCGCATGCGCGAGAAGCGCTGCGCTTTGTGATTGGTCCGGCGGCTTCTGGGATCTGTCATGTGTCCCAGGTACCGCCTTACCATTCACAAAGAGCACTGCTTCTTGTGCATGCGCACTTGGGACCCGGCTGTCACGCACACTACAGTCGGGAAGACAGCGCGCCGCTGGATTCTCCTGGCGTGCCCACAGATAAGGCTCGGCGTGCCACGGGTTCGCCATCACTGACCTACAAGATATTAAAATTAATTATCATTTTACAAAGCTGCACAGATTTGTAATATATACTAGAGCCCCATGATTGGATAGGCTATTTTCTGGAAATGGTGAACTTCAGTTTTAAAGTGTCATTATGATATATACTGCTGAAGGAATTGCTACTTGCCCTGAGTGGGCTAACAAGTATAAACTAATATTTTTCATTAGGAAAGGGATATTGATTCCACACCTGATGGTATCTCTTGAAAAAAGACATCTTCTTGGCCTTCATCAGCTCTTCCATGTAACATTAATGTGTCTCTGTATTTCCTGTGGATTCGAAATTCATCACGAGGACCTGGTGACAGTGGTCCTCTGTCCTTTTCCATGTGTAATGTTTGTGTCATTAGATCAACCAAGTCATTCATATCTCCAGAGTCTGAGCTTTTCCTTAAAGCAAAATGGGAAATAGATATAATTATGGTCATAAGAACACATTGCTATTATGCTTAATGGTCTTTTAATTGGTTTTAGTGACCAAAGTTTAGAAAGATCAAGAATAATATGCAGGAAAATACATTTTACACACCACCACCTTTGCCATAAGAAAAAAAAACAATAAAGTAAGAAATGTAACCAAACCTTTGTACATAAAATTAAAATGATTAACCCCTTTCACGCCGGTGCCTCCCGGCCCTTTAAGGGTTTTAGAAGCCGGGAGGCAGGGTCTAGGGTAATGTGACTGCCGTGACGCGAGGAGATCGGGACTCCGTGAGTACCGGACATGTGTGCTGGGAGCGTGCAGGGGGTGCGCTCTCGGCACATATGTCCTTTTTTAATAGAACGCAAATGTGAAGCTGCTCGGCATCTAGGCCCAGATGCTGGGAGGCCGCACATTTGTGTGTGGCCCGCGTGAAGAGGTTAATATAGCATGTTTTCACCCACAATATAACGTGGTAAGAAGTTTTTGGATCTGCATGACAAAGTAATATTGAAATTAAACAGAGCTATAGTACCCCAGGAGCACACATGTTGCAAACAGCAGTAGAGTTTTCACAAAGTAAGCATTTAAAGTACAGCTGTCATTAGAGGAGTATGGGGTCCATTGTTTATTTATTATTCCAGGTACTTTTATGTAGATATGAGTGGTTCGTTTTGTTCCAAATTGAAATTCAGACAAAATTTTCGTCATTCAGAGATTCGGATGTAGTAAAGTATAGAATAGAAAAAAAATAGAATAGAATAAAATAGAAAGAATATAGCCATCTTCCAAAATTTGAATTTAGAAAATAGAACAGAATAGAGTAAAGCAGAATAGAATAGAAAAAAAAGGAATATAGACTAGAATAAAAGAGAATAAGAAATAAAATAGAATAGATAAAAAAGAATATAAATACAATAAAATAGAAAAAAAATATAGCTGTCTTTCAAAAATTAGAATTTCAAAAAGAATATAAAATAAAATATTAGAATAGAAAATAAAATAAAAGAATAGAATAGAAAATAAAAGAAAAGAATAGAAAATAAATAATAGAATAGAATACAAATAATATAGCCGTCTTCCGAAATTCAAATTTCAAATAAAATAGAAGGAAGGAATAAAGCCATCTTGTGAAATCAATAGAATAAAAGAGAATAGAAAAGAATAGAACAGAAAAGACTAGAGTAAAACAGAACATAATAGAATAGAAAAGAAATGAATAGAAAATAATAGAATAGAAAAAACAGAATAGAAAAAGAATAGAATAAAATAAAAAGAATATAGCCATTGTCCAAAATTCTAATTAAAAAAATAGAATAGAACCAGATATTCTTCACAATGAATTCAGATTGATTCAATATTTTAAAATGTAATTTAAATACTTTGAATCCATTAGAAAAATTATAATCCAAGCAAAAACGAATGCAACGAAACTAATTTAATTGCAAATGCAAGAAAGTTAAATTGGTAACTTAACAAATCGAAATGATTTTTTTCATTCTGCATGTTTACTTACATATATTGTTTATTCACATCAGTTGGCCTTGGTCTTAAAATGCCAATGATCTGACTGTTTTCAGCTGCAATACTTTAGTTTCACAAATGTTTTAATCAAACCCCTCACACTACTATAGAAACAATATATTATATGTAGTTTGCATATATTGCAATGTATGTTGAAGCTGGCCGACTGAATCAAATCTATTACTCACAGACAAAATGCCAAAAACTCACTTGCTTTTATTATTTGCTTACTTATATGTTTATTAAGTTTTTTTTACACAGGAATAATTACAATTGGCAATAAACAGAATTTAAAAATAAAAGAGGATAAAGGCAAAAAATGGTATCACTAGTATTGGCAACTTAATGCATTCTTTATAGCAGTTCTATTGCAATACTTTAGATTCACAGGCCCAAAGAAAGGTTCTGTATACGAGTGTTAGAAAAATGTAAGAATGCTTTATTTTGTGTCAGGTCAGTAACACAGAAAGCATTAAAGTGATAATAAACACATGACACACAATTGCCCTTATATGGTCTACCATACTATCCAAATCATGTCAGTGCAGTTCTTTTGGAAAACTTAAATCACTAAGTATCTGTTCTCTGCATCAATATACAATGGTCACGTGCCTTGTCTAAGTGTCTGTGCCGAGTGCTGGGTGAGCTGCTAGGAGGAGCATTGATTCCCTTCTGATGTATCTTCTCTACGTCAGCAGAGGCAGCATACTTTTCCAGGAGGCGGTGCCTCCATCAATCAAGATGTCACATCCCATCCACTGTGTTTTTTGGTAGTTACTGGGCATGGAGGAGGAGGGAGGGACTGGGTTGTCATTTAAGATCTGTATATACGCCCACATTTGTGATGTCAAAGTCATGTGACCTGAACAGCTCAGATCATAGAGGAAATGTTCTCTTTTGAAATACACACAAAACAGAGCATGTGAAGACTTGCCACCACTGCTCTGTACGATTGGCAAATTAATAGGGGACAATGAAAGAAGGAGGGGAAAATCAGAGAGTGGCAGCATCAACCAGGTTTTTTTTTTGTTTTGTTTTTTAATTAGTTTCACCTTTTAAGTTGCATTACTGAAATAAATGAACTTTTGCACGATATTCTAATTTTTTGAGTTTCACCTGTAATTACCCTGGTCAGCCAGAAAAAAATATTTTTTTACTAACCTGTAATATCTGTTTTTTTTCAGTACAGTACAGAACGCAGCCTTAGACTGCAGGGTCATATGTTACTACTTCCGGGTTATGGGAAAAATTACGTTTTCCCTGTTTTTTCCAGAAAAATAAGAATTTTGGGAGAAACTGAAAAAAATTCAGTGTGTAGTAGATTTACAAATTAAGTCATTTTATTACACTGAAGGTGAAATGCAGCGTATATAAAAGTATTATGCTTGAAATAAAATTACAGCTTATTCAGTAAAAAAACTATACTTTTTAAAATGTTATTTTCTATTGCAAATGGAATAACAAGGACTGTATTTGGTGTTGGTGAAGAAACACCTTGTGATGATCCAGAAGTAGCAGAAAGATAGTTTCTGGAACGAGGGAAAAGCTACTTGCACTTTCATTATAGTCCTCATCATTTACTTCCATAAAGTATTTTCTAATGTTTTTAAGGCAACTCTGGCATGCAAGGATGTGTTTTGTCATCCTTGAAGCATTTGGAAAAGAATCATCTACTGTATCCCAATAATCAACTGTAGGAGGCATAAGATGGAGCCCAAGTAAACTACACTGGAGCCTATCCCCTGCCCCTAGTGGCAGAAATACATTTCATTTGTTTGAAAACTGCATTGAAGTACAGTGTTACTTGAATCGCATTCCATAATTTGCTTGTCTTCAGCTGAGAGAACTTGCAAGAACTTAAGACTTTACATAAAGTCTCAGAAATTTTTCTTTAAGGTCTTTATGTTACATAGTTTGAAAACCATATGATAGATAAGGTATTTATCATTGTAACAAAACATATTCCACACTTTTTTTTTTCTGGGAAAAAACGGCTTCGAAAAAAAACAAAAAAAAAATGTTTTTCATTTTTCAGGCCTTTCCATCGCTAGTCCTGTACTGTATGATCAAAAAATATGTGGGCTCTCTGGCCCTGTTTTACCTTTGCTACAAAGGGCTCAGCTTCCCTAACTTGGGTGCTGTATCCCTCCTTTTGGAGAAACTTTGAGGGCAAGGCTGAAAAGAGATGAGTGGGAATAATTTAAAAAGAAAAAAAAAAAATCATACTTACAAGGGTGGATCCAATCCAGTTCTCCCTGCAGCTCTGAACAGAGAGCGGTAAACTGGCAGTCACTGCTGTGTGCTCTGCCCCCCCAGCACTCACTAAAGCGCTGAACTGTGGAAGGAGCGGGAGCGGCTGGCTCAGGCTTCTCAACAGCTCACTGAGAGGCTAACGCAGGTGCTGGTCCAGACATCTGGGTGGATCCCCACTTTAAAGTTGGAATCTTTCCCCAGCCTGGACTGGATGACATCAGCCAACAGTGGTCTTTAGCCTGCAGTTGGCTGAAAGCGGGTCACAAGAGTGCAGAACGAACTGAAGACGTACGAGCATTGGCTGTAGTTCTCCTTTAACAGAAGCTCAAAATATATTTTATCATCTGAATAATCTAAAGCACTTCAATCACTGGTTTTGTATAACATGAAGTGTAAATAGCCACATAAATCTAAGTACCAAAATAAATCACCTACCTCTCTTTACATTCTCCTTCAGATTTGTCTGTGGAACTTGTTGACGAGCTTAAATCTTCTTCAGACAATTGCCATGCAGGCTTTAGTTTTTTCATCTTGATCATGACAAAAATGTAGTGGTTAGTAAACAGAAACCCTAGAGTGGAATTTTTAAAAAAATACAATTATGAATTCAGATTTTGTAAATTGTTTGTACTTTTCAAATAGAATAAAACATTTTGCTGTAAGAAGGAGCACATGGGAGGGACTGTTGTGGTACTTTTTACTTGCTTTTGTTAAAAAAATGAAAGTTATGAGGTCAAAGTCAAACAGGGACTTCTGAGTTTATATAATAAAATAAATAATTTTAAGAAGTGGAAACTGGATTTATTTTTCGACATACTCCCCTGCTACATTTTATATACTTATCCCAGCATTTAACTAATGCCTAGAAAACTTCAGCATAGAAAGATTTGTCAGTACACCAGAACCATCCTGGAACAACCTGCTTCACTTCGTTATCAGTGCTGAAATGCTGACCTTGGAGGAACTCTTTCAGGGATCCAAACAGGTCCAGGCTGTAAGGGGGATGTAGCAATACCTCCCAGCTGAGCTGCTGTAATGTACACGTAGTGCGGTGAGCAGTATGACCTTTTGTGATTTGTCCTGGAGAAACAGGATACCCTTAATGATCAAACTAGTCCGTTTTTTTGGCAGACGTATATGCACATCACTCGGGACACAAGAGTAATATTCATTGTTGGCAGTGGCATCACAGGGTACAAAATTCACATGAAGAATGCCACGTTTGTCTCAGAAAACACTTGCCATCACTTTACCTGCTGATGCAATTGTTCGATATTTTTTGGCGATGGTGAGTCCGCATGCTTCCACTGCTTTAATGCTCGTTTTGATTCCAGAGTGAAATGATGTGCCCAGGTGTCCTCACATGTAATGAAGCGATCCAGAAAATCTTGGATTTCTCTGTCAAAATGCTCCTTCAATGCAGTGCAGACTTCAAATCTTCTGTGCCGGTCTATTATTCAGGATCAAGCATTCCACACGTTGAAGGTTCACAGGAATGACTGCCGTGGGCTGGGAACCACCATGGCCGGGATCATCACTGATGAACACACGGCCATCTGTGAAAGGATTACACCATTCAAATGTCTTACTGCGGCTGAACGTCTCATCACCGTACTGTGCTTGAATTCGTCTCTAGATATATGCAGGTTTTACCTTCATTCACAAGAAATTTCATCACCACACGCTGTTCCATGCAAGCACTAACACTGTTGTCTGCCATGTTGATTAACAGTCTCTGGACTGGCACGTGACAAGTGCGCTGCCTATCAATAATAGGACACACTTGCCACTTACTACTACGTGTAGTATAGACATGCTAGCATCCCTTTTTTACCTGTAAAATTAAAAGTCCTGGTTTGACTTGCATGCCCCTTGTATAATGCATGGTAATGTTAGATGAGTGACAATTAAATGGAACCTGTCAGAAAAGAAATATGGGAGATGCTAATGCCAGCTTGGTTTTAATGGAGTATGTTTTGGGGCCGACAAGGAACAAGCATGCATAAGAGGCTTGCAACTTTACTGTCTGCATGCTTGTTTTCTGTCTTCACAGGTTAACGTTACATGAACCTGCACTTTTCACATTGTTACAGGGGCTCTATTTCCCTCAATCCCCCCTACCGTAAGGATCATGGCTAAGCTCTACCAACTGCTATTCCTCCTTTTATTACGAATACAAATTCTGGTCATTGAGACAGTACTATTGCACAGTGGAATTGCAGTAGCCAAGTAATAGGAGACATCTTGTGGCATCTGATCCCAGAATTTTTACTTTTAAAATTTTCAAATGGCTGTAAACTGACTGCTTATCTTCTTCATCTGAACTGCCTCCCCATAGGCAGATAAAAGCCCACTGTTAAAAGTAATCCAAATTTGGATGACTTTTAAGATGTCAGAAATTTATGTGGGTCTGAAATGCAAAAATTAGAAGAAGAATGTGTGGTACATGTACATGAGAAGGGAGGTAGACATGTTTGCGGTGGCGATGAGGATATTTTGTGGGGGCTCAGTGCTGGTGAAGGAGTTATAGGAAAGGGGCAATGGGTTGGTGACTTTTGTTAATTAAACGCCACTGAAAGACTAGAAAGGAAAGACCAATATTTGGTTGAGAGAGGAGTAGATAATGAGGCTAAAATGGTAATTTCATTCAAGGGTATAGGGTGCAAGCTTTAAAGTCCCAGGGGCAGTGTCTTTGTTGTGTGAGGGAAGAGGAGCAGAGAATTGAAGATATGTTTAAACGCAGGTGACTGAGAGGGTTTTTTTTTTTCTTTTTGAGACACGTGGTACTGGGGGGGTCTGTATATGTTTTGTATGTTGATAAGTTGAAAATAATAAACAGAGAATAAAGAAAGAAAAAAAAAAGGCTCACTGTTATGTTATGTGATGTATGTCTATTGTAGGTTCATACAATGACAATCACAAGGATGACGACTTATATAGTAGCCTATTTTATATTTTAGCATCATGCCTATATCTGGGTCTTATTTTTTTGTACATAGGGTCAATTGTATCCTTACTGTGTTAATTTTGTTTGTGAGGTAAACAATATACACTGCTCAAAAATATTTAAGCAGATTATAGCATCAAGTAAACTAAATTCCTGGGATATTGATCTGGTCAATTAAGTAGCAGAGGGGGTTGTTAATCAGTTTAAGCTTCTTTGGTATTAACCTCCCTGGAGGTATTCCTGAGTGTAGTTCGGGGTAAAGTTTCAGCACCACAAGCAGTAACCCCGAGCTACACTCAGGAATACCCTGCAGAGTTGCTCCGGGACCTCTTCTGCACTTACCTTGTCCTTCGCTCCAGCGATGTTCCCCCTGCAGCATCCCCGGCAATGTCCTCCGGCCGATGCCAGCATCTGTCTTCCGTGTTCCGTTCCCTGCGACGTCAGGACGTACGGGGACGGAACTGGCGGGAAATTTGAAATTTTTAAAAGTGACATTCATTAAATTCACTAAAATCACATAGTAAAATATTACTGTATCAAACCATTTCACATACATTTTGTCCCGAGTGCTTTGTCCTGTGCCCTGCCTGCATTTTTACTGTTCTTTCTGCCTTGAAACTGAGAAAAGTCCATGGCGTCCAAAAAGCGTCCCTTTAGGTCAAAAGCGGTTTTAGATCAGCTAGAGAACAGCGATAGTAAATTAGAACTACTTGCAGAATTGAGTGATAATGATTTGTGTGGGAATTCATCATCAGACACTGAAATCGATTTTGCGACTTTGCTCAGTGATGTGCGAACTAGCACTCGATTTCAAATTTCAGTGTTTTTGGTTTGATTATATTATTGAATTAAATTTATTATATTATTAATAATTATTTATTAAATTATAATTTATGATTTCGTGTTTCAAATTTTAACATACCCGGAATGTTTAATAGTCTCTTGTTCGGACAGATTTCAGTGAGTTATTCCTAAAAATTACACAGGCCTACAATAAAAAAACTACATATTTCCATGCAAAAAAATGTACCGCTTTGAGCATAGAAATATGGACATAATTAGACCACTAGGGAGGTTAATGAAATCAACAACAGGTGCACTAGACGGGCAACAATGAGACAATCCTCAAAACAGGACAGGTTTTACAGGTGGAGGCCACTGACATTTTTTTTCCCTACTCATCTTTTTTTTATCGTTTTTCACTAGTTTTGATTTTGGCTAGGGTCAGTGTCACTACTGGTAGCATGAGGCGATACCTGAACCCTACAGAGGTTGCACAGGCAGTCCAACTCCTCCAGGATGGCACATCAATACGTGCTATTGCCAGAAAGTCTCAAGAGCATGAAGGAGATTCCAGGAGACAGGTTGTTACTCTAGGAGAGCTGGACAGGGCTGCAGGTGGTCCTTAACCCATCAACAGGACCGATATCTGCTCCTTTGTGCAAGGAGGAACAGGGTGAGCACTGCCAGAGCCCTACAAAATTACCTCCAGCAGGCCACCAGTGTGAATGTATCTGACCAAACAGTCAGAAACAGACTTCACGAGAGTGGCCTGAGGGCCTGAAGTCCTCTAATGGGCCCTGTGCTCACTGCCTGGCACCATAGAGCCCGATTGGCATTTGCCACTGAACACCAGAATTGGCAGGTCCGCCACTGGCACCCTGTGCTTTTCAGGTGAGAGCAGGTTCACCCTGAGCACATGTGACAGATGTAAAAGGGTCTGGAGAAGCCGTGGAGAACATTATGCTGCAACATTGTTCAGCATGACCAATTTGGTAGTGGGTCAGTGATGGTCTGGGGAGGCATATCCATGGAGGGACGAACAGACCTCTACAGGCTAGACAATGGCACCCTGACTGCCATTAGGTATCAGGATGAAATTCTTGGACCCATTGTCAGACCCTACGCTGGTGCAGTGGGTCTTGGGTTCCTCCTGGTGAATGACAATACCCAGCCTCATGTGGCAAGAGTATGCAGGCAGTTCCTGAAGGATGAAGGAATTGATACCATTGAATGTCCCCCCACGCTCGCCTGACCTAAATCCAATAGAACACCTCTGGGGTATCATGTTTCGGTCCATCCGACGCCACCAGGTTGCACCTCAAACTGTCCAGAAGCTCAGTGATGCCCTGGTCCAGATCTGAGAGGAAATACCCCAGGACACCATCCATCGTCTCATTAGGAGCATGCCCCGATGTTGTCAGGTATGCATACAAGCACATGGGGGCCAGACAAACTACGGAGTACCATTTTGAGTTGCTGCAATGAAATTTCAGCAAAATGGACTAGCCTTCTACATCATTTTTTCACTTTGATTTTCGGGGTGTCTTTCACTTCAGTCCTCTGTAGGTTGATAATTTTAATTTCCATCAAACTATGGGGCAACCTTACATTCCTAATGATATTCTTCCCCTTTGAAATCTGATGTGTTTTCAAAGTGTTTCTTTAATTATATTGAGCAGTGTATAAAGAATTAAAAAAAAAATGAAAAATACAGGTTTACTCTAACATTTAACAGACTACAGGAGGCTATAGCCGCTGCAAGTTTGTTTACATTTCTTCAGCCAAATGTTTGCTTTCTTGTAGTGATTCAGGTGGCTGTAATGCAGCCTGATCACTACTACAAGCTCTGGCAGTTGCCATTCTGCTTGCAGGATCTTCCCCTCCGCCATCCTGTGCTCTGCTGCCCTTCTGGGCCCATGGTACATCCAAAGCAGGTGTCGGGGGGGGGGGGAATAATCAGCAAATATCTGTTTGCTGATTGTCTCTGTGTACAGTGAAACCAGAAGCGACAAGGTTTAGATCACATCTGTTTTCAGTTCATTCGTCCATCCACCGCTGTGGCTGGGGATAAAGCTAGTCAAGCATGATCTGTATTCTTACAAAAGTCAGTTTGGCCGGTTCAGCAGGGACTGGGCAAATTTCGATCAGTGTGTAGAAGAGACATCCAGGAAAACTTTTCACAATCAGTGCTTGCAGCCATTGCTGCTGTCAGAATACAATGTCCCAGTAGGGGTGATTCCTCCATCCAACTTGTTTGTGTAGATGGAAAAATCTGTATCTGGAATGTTTTTTAATTGCATGTTTAAATAATCTTATTTTCAGGAATTCCTAGAGCTCTGGGGAAAAAAATGCTCAATGTGAATAAAAACATGACACCTCAGTATAACCATGAAAAATTCCAGCAAAATAGCTCTCACCTCACGCATAATTGGCACTTGATTGGCAGAATTTATTTCTTCAGCTTTCTCAACAGCATTAGCAGAACTTTTTGTGACTGATGGCGCTTGAATAGAAAAAGAAAAAAAAATCAATCCTTAACCCAGGTTTATTTTTTTGTTATCTTTAGGGCTCGTGTCGACATACTTTGTTCTTTGCTTTAGAATGCACATCATACACAGGTCAGCACAATTCCATTGACTTTGGGAGTTTAGAGGTTGCATTAGACCTGCTTTGTGTTGTGTTGCCTTCTTTGGACACACCACGTCCTAGCGTTTGTTTGAAGGGCAGGCAAGTGGAGCCAATGCTGCCTTTTTTTTTATGAAAATAGCATTCTCCAATTGAAACACAGCTGAATAGATGGGAATGGGAAATGAAGCATTTGGCAGGAACAACCATTGACAAGAGCCTTATATTGTCAAAAAGTATCAACTAATTAATTTCCGATTTCTGACATATTTGCAGCAATACCGAGCCACTGGACCAAAAATCACTGAAGACTTCAGTTTTAAAATGTGGTTGTTAATATGAATTGAAATACGCTACACATAGCTGGCATCAAAGCAAACTGATACCTAAACTAACCCCTACCACCTTCTGTTCCTTCAAAATAATTAATAAATCCCTACCTGGGTTACCACAGAAGTCTGCTCATATGACTAAATACCTAAGCACAGGTAAAAAAAAAAAAAAAGTATCAGTGGAAGGAGACTGGCCAGTTCTGCCTGAAGCGCCTTCAGCAGAGATGTGAGAGATGGCTGTGCATTTGGTTCTGCAACGGTCAGCTGTGCAAGCAAGGAGTCACTGTAAGCGCTTTGTTCTTCACTAATATTTTAGGAGTGCAATTATGGTCAGGGAATGCAGGATAAATTTACGTATTATCTGCTTAAAGAAGCCTTTCATGAGAGAAACATGGAACTTACTGTTGCTGAACTTTCTTTTTGAAAATGCTAATTGCCTGACATGATAAAACTCTGGCTTTGATACTTTGAGCCACTGACATGGAACAAGTAATGCAGGTAAATAGTTCTCATTTCACCATATTTCTGATCTGTATACTTTTTCTGAATCATTGAATCCAAAATGAATAAAGCTGTCACAGTTCAATGCCTTCAGAACCAACCTGTGCAACTGTCCACAGGTGTTCATGCTGCAGCTGAGACTCTGCTGGACAGTCTTGCTGTTTCACACATGGGTCCCATGCTTGATTCCTGTTCATCTTTGCAATGTCTTTCTAACATCTGCAAACCTGTTCTAAGTATTTTACAGTTTGTGTGTTTGGATATTCTCATGTTCCCCCTGCTAGCTCTCATTGAGTAGTTCTGCTGGCCATGTTCTCTGATGTCATATCCCAAAGAGCTATTTAAACTGGATCAGAGCAATTGGGAGATGCCTGAGCAAAGACTTCTGAATACCTGATTCCAGACTCTTGTTGCTGAGACCTCTGTTCCAGTGCGGACACCTGTTAAAGACATCTGCTGTTGCTGTACAATCCCTGTTATCCACTTGCCTTGATCTTTTGCCTGTTTGACCATGACCTTGCCTGCAGCTATTGTACAAAGTTTTATCTCTGTTTGCTCTCAACTGTAGCAACTCCAATTGTAACCGCAGGTCACAACCTGGGAACCATCCACAGAAAAGCTCATCATCCCTTGCAGGGTGCTCTGGTGAACACTGGTCAGTTCTTTAGACTCTGCAGTTCGTCTTTAGAGTCTGTATATCCCGCTGAAACAAGATGGTCTACTACGTCTGTGACCGAATCAAGTTGGTCAACACAGCAGCTGGGTAACAGGCATTTCCAGAAGGAAGTTAACAATGACAGCCCTCTGATGACAGCTTTACTTTAAATTAAAATAAACAAGTCACTCATTTTGAAGAGAACTGATGAGTAGACACAAAGCGTAACAAACTTAATACACCAAGGAAAATACAAGATTAAGACACGTTAACCACTTCCAGTCTGGACACTTTTACCCCCTTCCTGTCCAGGCCAATTTTCAGCTTTCAGTGCTATCACACTTTGAATGACAATCGGTCATGCAACACTGTACCCATATGAATTTTTTAGCATTTTTTTGAGACAGATAAAGCTTTATTTTGGTGGTATTTATTCACCTCTGGATTTTTTTTTTTTTTTTTTTGCTATGTAAATGAAAATGTCCAAAAATTTTGAAAAAAAAGTTTTTCTTATAAAATTTTGCAAATAAAAAGTATTTCATTATAAATCGTGGCCAAAATGTATTCTGTTATCTTTTTATTTTAGTAAAAAAAAAAAACCCAAATTAGTTTATAACCAAAAATTATAATTTTTAAACATTTTTTTTTTTTTATATTATGGTGTTTTTTTCACATACTGCCACCATAGCATACTTGTGGGGGGTGATGAAGATTTTTTTTTTTTTTTTTTACACCCATAAAGGCTGTAAAAGCAATCATGTCTCCTTCTCTCTGGCTGCATTCTTGCAGCCATTGAGAACTACTGTGTGAGCTGTGATTGGTCACAGCTTGTCACATGGTACAAGGCTGTTGTGAATAGCCTTGTAGCATGTGACCTCTGTGATCATTCACAGATTTCACACTTAGTAAGCAATGATGTCACAAGTGACATCTTGCTTACTACTCTGCATGTGATCACTGATTGGCCAATCAGTGATCACATGATCGGGACCTCGCACAGAGGTCCCGTCCGATGATCAGTGTTCCACTGTGTCCGGAGGACACAGCGGGAACTGGATCGCGGTGCTGCTCGCTCCCAGGGAGCGCGCACAAGCAGTGGGTGCGCGCACAAGCAGGGTGCGGGGAGGCCGTTTATAAATGGCCACCCAACCCTGCACTGCCACCGTCCGGCCGTTTAAATACAATGGCCAGAGGGGAAGTGGTTAAATGGACTATTACTTTAATAGAAAAGAAAAGCTGCCGACAGATACAAAGTAAAGTGTCTCCACTCTTCCAGAATGCCGGGCTACTCTGACTGTACAAAGCTACTGTATAGGAAATCCTGGCAGTGTTAAAGTGTTACTACACCCACAACAGTAAACCGTGTCTGTATATGCAGTAAAGTATGCTGGTTATACTCATTGTGGAACCTAAGGGATTAATCCTCTGCCCTGTGTAAAAAGGTTGTTTGATCCTTTCTTCTCCGTTCCCTTCTTCTACTGTCCCCAACCCATCTGCTGATAGTATAGAGCTCTAGGAGGCACTCTGCACATGCTCATTTTAATGTGTATTGCTAGTCTTTTTTTTTTCTTTGGGAGGGTGCATGTGATCATCACAGGGCCAATCAGGGCCAGGGGTTATGCAGCCTCATAGGACAGTCAGAGTAAAATGAAAACTCCTCCTACAAGCTTTAACCAGTGCTCAGCTGGACACTGATAGACGTCACAAGACTGCTATATAGTACTGATGAGAAAAGGTATTTAGCAGTTTATGTTTACTAAAATAATTGCACTTCCATGTTGTGTGTACTGTGGGAGACCAGATATAGTGAATGCAGGGTAATGGGTTTAGTAACACTTTAAAGCTTCCCCCCACCCATACATTCCTTTTGGACAGTTAGGCAGCACATTATAACCGTGGACTAATAGGAATCCATGGACAATCACTTGAAGCACAGGATAATATACACTATCTTGCCAAAAGTATTGGGACACCTGCCTTTACATGCACATGAACTACTGTATATTGGCATCCCAGTCTTAGCCCATAGGGTTCAATATCGAGTTGGCCCACCCTTTGCAGCTATAACAGCTTCAATTCTTCTGGGAAGGCTGTCCACAAGGTTTAGGAGTGTGTCTATGGGAATGCTTGACCATTCTTTCAGAAGCGCATTTGTGAGGTCAGGCACTGAAGTCAAACAAGAAGGCCTGGCTCGCAGTCTCTGCTCTAATTCATTCCAAAGGTGTTCTCTCGGGTTGAGGTCAGGATCCTGTGTAGGCCAGTCAAGTTCCTCCACCCCAAACTCACTCATACATGTCTTTATGGACCTTGCTTTGTGCACTGGTGCACAGTCATGGTGAAACAGTAAGGGGCCATCCCCAAACTGTTCCCACAAAGTTGGGAGCGTGAAATTGTCCAAAATGTCTTGGCATGCTGACATCCTAAGAGATCCCTTCACTGGAACTAAGGGGCCAAGCCCAACCCCTGAGAAAACAACCCCACACCATAATCCCCCCTTCACCAAACTTCACACTTGGCACATTGCAGTCAAGCAAGTACTGTTCTTCTGGCAAGCACCACACCCAGACACGTCTATCGGATTTCCAGACAGAGAAGCGTGATTTGTCACTCCAAAGAACACGTTTCCACTGCTCTAAAGTCCAGTGGTGGCATGCTTTACTCTACTGCATCCGATGCTTTGCATTGCACTTGGTGATGTAAGGCTTGGATGCAGCTACTTGGCCATGGAAACCCATTCCATGAAGCTCTCTGCGCACTGTTGTTGTGCTAATCTGAAGGCCACACAAAGTTTGGAGATCTTTAGCTACTGACTCTGCAGACAGATGGCGACTTCTGCGCACTGTGAGCTTCATCATGCGCTGACCCCACTCTGTCAGTTTACATAGCCAACCACTTCGTGGCTCAGTTGCTGTTGTTCCCAGTTGCTTCTACTTTGTTACAATACCACTAATAGTTGACCGTGGAATATGAAGTAGCAATTGAAATTTCATAGATGGACTTATTGCACAGGTGGCAACCTATCAAGGTATCACGCTTGAATTCACTGAGCTCATGAGAGCGACCCAATCTTTCACAAATGTTTGTAGAAGCAATCTGCATGCCTAGGTGCTTCATTTTATACACCTGTCGCCATGGAGGTGATTGGAACACCTAAATCCAATGATTTGGAGGGGTGGCCCAATACTTTTGGCAATATAGTGTATATATAAAAATCATAAACTTACCAGATAAAGATATTTCTTCTTGGGACTGTTTTAATCTTCTTCTCTCTCTTGCTGACAAAGGGCGATGATCCTAAAGAAAATATAAACCGGAATACACATTTGACTATGTAATGCAAATACAGCATAATATACCAAAAATGTTTAAAGTCAAATAATATCTGATCTGGCATATAGATTTTTTCAGCTTATAACAGACAGCAGAGCTGACTACTATGCACAATAAAAACTGTGCCAAGCTGTGATGGAAAGCCTAAAAATTCAACATGGTATTTATAGGTCAACCAATAGTGTAATAAAACAGAACGGTGGAAATAATTTTAAATAATTTGCTGCAAAATGCATTTCTTGGAAAAAACAAAAAAAGTTTTAATATACATGTTTTCACTTGATTAGTTGGGGCCCGGGATTGAGATTGAATATTTTCATTCAGTATAGTTTTAGAACAGTATAATTTTGATCAGTTTATAGAATCTTTTCCAAATCAAAATATGCTTAACCACTTGCCCTCCAGAGGATTTACCCCCCTTCCTGACCAATCCATTTTTGCGATACAGTGCTGCATTACTTTAACTGACAATTGCACGGTCATGCAACGCTGTGCATAAATTAAATTTATGTCCTTTTTTTCCCTACAAATAAAGCTTTCTTTCAGTGGCATTTTATCACCTTGGCAAGTTTTTTTTTTTTTCCGCGCTGTAAACAAAATAAAAACCAACAATTTTGGAAAAAAAAAAAACCCAAAACACCAATATTTTTTACTTTTAGCTATAAAATATATCCAATAAAAAAAATGTAAAAATCTAATTTCATCATAAAGTTAGGCCAAAATGTATTCTGCTACATGTCTTTGCTAAAAACAAATCCCAATATGTGTAAATTAATTAATTGGCGGTATATATACTGGAATTTTATTTTCTTTCTATACTAGTAATGGTGGCAATCAGCGACTTATACTAGCAGGACTGTGGTGGGTATTCTGACACTGGGTGGGAACTGACTGACACTGACATTCCAATGACACGAATACATTAATCAGTGCTAATAAAAAGCACTGACACTGTACTAATGACACTGGGCAGGAAGGGGTTAACATCTGGAGTGATCAAAGGGTTAACTGTGTGCTGTGCTGTTTTACTTGGGAGACATGCTGCTTTGTATTTCTCTGTTGTGCAGAGAAATACAAAAGCAGCATGTCCTTGCTGGCAGGAGAGTGACCTGTTTTGTTTACACACAGGTCTTTCCCGTTTGCTTTCCCCGACAATCGCCGAGTAACAGCGGAGAATCTCCGGCCGGGACCCGATGATTGACATCCCTAGCCACCATTGGTGGTGCAGGTAGGGCAGCGTGAGTGCTTCCTACCCGGAAATGCAAATCACGTATATATGGATTTTTTGTGCAGCTCCGCTGCCCTGTAGCAGTATTTCTGCTATAGGTTGGCGGGAAAGTGGTTGGGTATTTAAACCCTCCAAAGAGTATTATATTGCAGATTATAAGCCCTTAGATTTGGTGGCTGCATTCGTTTTCTCAGCCTTTCTTTCCTTTATTTTCACCTGGTGATCCTGACAATACTATATTTCCAGTCCACACTGTACTGTATCATCAAAGGAGCAGCGTTGTCACTCTAGGCTGCTCTCCTGATTCGGACTACAATCACCTCCATTCTCCTAATCTACATAGATGTGTGGGTGTAGATATATAAACTATATTCCTGTAGCTGGGAAAGCAGATAGCATTTTTAAGATTATAGTTTAGTGAACAGGAAATTATGGGCACATTGGATTTCAGATAGGCTCAAATGATACATTTTTTGTGCTTGCAAAAAAGAAACCACCACAAATAAGGATTAATAAGCTGCACTACATTACAGTTTCTTGTTCTTAAGCTTAGACATTTTTTATTCATCTCTTTCAGAGATGCAGTCTGCCCTCTAACATTTTAAAAGTCAAACACATAGGTATGCAATTTAATATAAACCCCTATTAAAACAACATGCTTGCAATAACCTTCGTTAGAACTGAGTTTTATAGAACAATTGTTTAGCTCATTACATGAACGTAATATTAGTAATATACAGTCATGGCCGAAATTGTTGGCACCCTTGATATTTCTCCAGGAAATCATGTATTTCTCACGAAACGTATTGCATTAACACATGTTTTGCTATACACATGTTTATTCCCTTTGTGTGTATTGGGACAAAACAAAAAAAGGGAGGAAAGAAAGCAAATTCGACATAATGTCACACAAACCTCCAAAAATGGGCTGGACAAAAGTATTGGCACCCTTTCACAACTGCGGATAAATAAGAATGTTACAAGCATGTGATGCTCCTGTAAACTCACCTGGGGCAAGTAACAGGTGTGGGCAATATAGAAATCACACCTGAAAGCAGATAAAAAGGAGAGACGTTCACTTAACCTTTGCATTGTGTGTCTGTCTGTGCCACACTAAGCATGGACAACAGAAAGAGGAGACGAGAACTGTCTGAGGACCTGAGAACCAAAATTGTGGCAAAATATCAACAATCTCAAGGTTACAAGTCCATCTCCAGAGAACTAGATTTGCCTTTGTCCACAGTGCGCAACATTATCAAGAAGTTTGCAACCCATGGCACTGTAGCTAATCTCCCTGGTCGTGGACGGATGAGGAAAATTGATGAAAGATTGCAACGCAGAATAGTCCGGATGGTGGATAAGCAGCCCCAAACATGTTCCAAAGACATTCAAGCTGTCCTGCAGGCTCAGGGAGCATCAGTGTCAGCGCGAACTATCCGTCGACATTTAAATGAAATGAAACGCTATGGCAGGAGACCCAGGAGGACCCCACTGCTGACACAGAGACATAAAAAAGCAAGACTACAGTTTGCCAAAATGTACTTGAGTAAGCCAAAAGCCTTCTGGGAAAACGTCTTGTGGACAGATGAGACCAAGATAGAGCTTTTCGGTAAAGCACATCATTCTACTGTTTACCGAAAACGGAATGAGGCCTACAAAGAACAAAACACAGTACCTACGGTAAAATATGGTGGAGGTTCAATGATGTTTTGGGGTTGTTTTGCTGCCTCTGGCACTGGGTGCCTTGACTGTGTGCAAGGCATCATGAAATCTGAGGATTACCAAAGGATTTTGGGTCGCACTGTAGGGCCCAGTGTCAGAAAGCTGGGTTTGCGTCCAAGATCCTGGGTCTTCCAGCAGGACAATGACCCCAAACATACGTCAAAAAGCACTCAGAAATGGATGGCAAAGAAGCGCTGGAGAGTTCTGAAGTGGCCAGCAATGAGCCCAGATCTAAATCCCATTGAACACCTGTGGAGAGATCTTAAAATTGCTGTTGGGAAAAGGTGTCCTTCCAATAAGAGAGACCTGGAGCTGTTTGCAAAGGAAGAGTGGTCCAAAATTCCGGGTGAGAGGTGTCAGAAGCTTATTGATGGTTATAGGAAGCGACTGATTTCAGTTATGTTTTCCAAAGGGTGTGCAACCAAATATTAAGTTAAGGGTGCCAATACTTTTGTCCAGCCCATTTTTGGGGTTTTGTGTGACATTATGTCATATTTGCTTTTCTGCCTCTGTTTTATATTTGTTCCAATACATACAAAGGGAATAAACATGTGTATAGCAAAACATGTGTTAATGCAATACCTTTTTTGTGTGTGTGAAATACTTGATTTTCAGGAAAAATATCAAGGGTGCCAACAATTTCGGCCATGACTGTAACTTAGATTACAATATCTTCAGTTTTACTCAAATTTGCTGATGCAAAAATGAATACTCCCCACAACAAAAACTACTACATCTAGCATTTTGTATGACCTCCATGATTTGTAAGGACAGCACCAAGTCTCCTATGCATGGAATATGCAATTTGGCAACATGTCTTCAAGAACGACCTCTTTTAGAGCCTGGATGCTGGATGGAGAGTGATGCTCAACTTGTCTCTTCAGAATTCCCCATAGGTGTTTGATTGGGTTCAGGTCAGAAGACATACTTGACCAGTGAATAACTTTCACCGTGTTCTTCATGTAGGAAAAGAGCATGACGACCAAGGGCACAGAGTGATGGTAACATATTATCTTTCAATATAGAGCAGTACATCTGTGAATTCATACCACCATCAATGAAATGCAGCTCCCCGACACCAGCAGCACTCATGCAGCCCCACAGAATGGCACTGCCACCACCAAGTTTCACTGTAGGCAACATACATTTTTCTTTGTACTCCTCACCTTTGCGATCCCATAGTTTTGAAGCCAAACTTTCCAAAAACATTTACCTTGGTCTCATCACTCCAGAATACAGAGTCCCAGTAGTCTTCTTCTTTTCCAGCATGGGCCCTGGCAAATTCTAGGCAGGCTTTTTTGTGCATAAGCCTTAGGAGAGGCTTCCTTTGTGGACCACACCCATGCATGCCATTTCTCTGCAGTGTACGTCGTATTGTGTCACAGGAAACAATCACCCCAGTTTGGCTTTCGACTTCTGTAGCTAACTGGCGATTTACTTCAACCCTTCCTATCAGAAGACGCTCCTTGTGACATTTCTCTTCCATGTGGTGCCATTGCTGACAGCATGAAATGAGAAGGGGCATTCTTTGTTAAGTAACGCCCTTTTATAATCAACCATCTGCTATTATTTAATGACTAATTAGACTCACCTGTAGTTGAATTCTTGGGATTTTGTCTAAAATTTAGCTTTGCTTCTAAGACTTTCATTGGGGTGTATTCATTTTTGCAAAATGGTCTTGAATTTGTTAGGAAAAAATATTTTTTTGTGTGCAAATTAACAAATCTTTTTTGTAATCAATGGCCCGCATTTGTGGAACTATTTTGTAGTATAGTGCGCCATAAATAATGTTAATTTTGAAAGGAAAGTAAAGGTTTTCTGAGAAATCTGTTGGGGTGTACTTATTTATGTTGAGCACTGTAACAATATACACTCACCGGCCACTTTATTACGTACACCTTGCTAGTGCCAAGAAAATATCCCCCACACCATTACACCACTACCACCAGCATGAATCATTGACACAAGGCAGGATGGATCCATGTTGTTTATGCCAAATTCTGACCCTACCATC